CCTCCGTGAGACAGCCATGTTTTTGCCAGGAGGCTCTGGGGGAAATGGCTGTGGCTGAAGAAGGGCTGGGCCCTGCATGAGGTCAGGTGAGCAGGGAGGTCTCAGATACTGGGTAACTTTCTCTGCTACCCAGCATCTGAGACCTCCCTGCTGGGTCTTCATCCTGGCTGGGTGATTTGAAGTAGGTTAAATGTTTGGAAAAAATAAATAGTTTGCTCAAAGGGAGGGTGTTTGAAGTCAAGATAGGAGATTACGCACTCACTGGCTGGTGCTTGTCCCTCCTACGAGCCCCAGGATGTCTGGGCTCCTGGCACTGGATACCTCAGCATCTTCAGTCCTGCACCGGCAGGCTCTTGAGCCATCAGAAGGCATTAGTGGGTGGCTGCCAGGCTGACCTTGAGTCCTTCCACCACTTGACCTGTGAGACTGGGTCACCAAGCCCTGTGTCTGGTGCAAGACTTCATTGTGCTCCTAGAATAGCATGCGATTTAAAACTTACAAGTTTCTTATTTCTGGAATTTTCCTTTTAATATTTTCAGAATGCAGTCCACTGAGTGTAACTGTGGGTAAGACGGGTAAGACTGTAGTAGATCTCTTTATGGAGATCTTGCCACTACTCTCACCTGGGCAAAGCTCAGGGCAGAGTGGAACACGAGGGCTTGGGGCACAGGAAGGTGCTGCAGCCACCTGGTGCAGGGAGAGCTGAAGTGCAGGGGAGGGTCCTGGAGGTGGTATCTGGAGAACCCAGAGCAACAGTAGGATGTCAGAGGGGGTGAGAAGGGATCTCAGAGTCCACTGGGTGGCTCACGGACCTGGTGGCTCAGGGCTGTGGGACTCCTGTGGCCTCTCCTGGCCTCCATGTTCATGCATAAGGCTGGGGCAAGTGGCTTCCTCAACTGAGGCCCTTTGTGGAGGTCCAGGGGAGGATGCTCACTCACCACGGGCAGAATGACTTTGCATGACCTTGAGCAGGGCTGGCCTCTGCGGGGGTGTAGCCTCCAGCTGTGTAGATCAGTAAGTTTTCCTCTCACAGTCATGGAGGCGTGGAACCTGAGAATGAGGTGTCAGTAGGGCTGTGCTCCCTCCTGAGGCTCCAGGGGAGGACCTTTTCTTGCTGCTTTCTGACTTCTGGTGGCCTCAGGTGTTCCTTGTCTCAAGAATTGTCACTCTGATCTCTGCCTGTGTGTTCATGTGGCTGCTTTTCTGTGTCTTTTTGACTTATTTCCTGTGTCTTATAAGGACATTACCATTGGGTTGAGGGCCCTTTCAAATTCTGGATGACCTCTTCTCAATTCTTGCCTTAGTCACAGCTACAGAAACCTATTTCCTAATGAGGTCCTATTCTGAGGTTCTAGGTGAACATGAACACTCTTTAGACTGTGATGGTGGGGCACTGCAGTTTTTTATTTTTGGGTGCTGGGGATTGAACCCAAGGGTGCTTTACCATTGTGCCACATCCCCAGTCCTTTTCTTTTTAATTTTGAGACAGAATCTTGCTGAGTTGCTGAGGGCCTTGGTGAGGCACCCACAGATACTTCCCAATGTTTATTGTGAGTCAGGTACCAGGGTATGGGATGAGCAGAGCCCCTTGTGGGGTCTCAGAAACTGAATTGGTAGCCTCAGACTTGAGAGGTTGATACCAGGCATTTAGACTCACCCAACAGGCCCAGAGATAAATAGTGCTTACTGTGTGAATGAACAAGAAGTGGCCTGGGGTGAGGGCACTGTGGCTGGCGCAGTCATCCAGCTTGGAAGAGGTGGACTTGGAGATGCCCTTGAAGTCCATGCAGGAGCCAGAACCCAGGAGGGAGTGGGGTCGCGTAGGTGTCTGAATTGGTCAGGGGATATATATGGCCAGTCTGGAGGAGACATTCTTCAAGACTAGGAGTCGTCAGATGGAAGTCATCAAAGGTGCTTGAGGCAGGGGTTTCTGGCAGTGGTGATGGTGACCAGGAGCTTGTGAGATAAATGGTGGGTCCCTGTCCTTGTCCTTGGGACCCCTAGAGACCTTTCCTCCCATTTCAACAAATTCCTAGGGTTTGGCTATGTCCTGACCATGTTCTCACCTCCTTTCCCCATTTCTTCTCCCTGTACAGGAAGAAAACAGGCAGATTCTGGCCCGGCAGAAGTCAAACTCGCAGCCAGAGTCCCACGATGAGGAGGTGTCGCCGACCCCCCCAAACCCCGTGGTGAAGGCCCGCCGCCGGCGAGGGGGTGTGAGCGCGGAGGTCTACACAGAGGAGGATGCAGTGTCCTATGTCAGGAAGGTGAGGGCTCAGCCTGGGGCTCTCACACACCAGATCCCCAAGGAACCCATGGTGCCTGGGGGCCCTGGTTTCCTATCTGATCACAGATGGGAGGGGAGACGTGGTCACCATCAGGATTGGAGTCACATCATCTCTACCAGCATGAACTGAGAGCGTGTTTATAGGTTGAACTTTTTGGGGAGGTGTCTCTGTTTTAGGATTCTGACCGGCTTAGGGAAGGACAAGACTCACCAGGGTGGCTGGAGGGACTATATGGTTCTGTCCTGCTGCAGGCCTCTGGTGTCTCCTTAGGACACTGATCCCGACATACGCAGGATCACCCTCATGACTTCATCAAAACGCCCCCATCTCCAGAACCCTGGTGGTTAGGGCTGGAGCACAGGAATCTGGGGCCCCAGTTCAGCCTGAGGTACCCTCCTGAGACAGTTCAGGGACACAGAGGGTAAAGGCAGCACCACTACCCACCACCAGCACCTTCTTCATCTTGCAGAATGGAAGCTGTGCTCCCTGTGTGGTCTCCTTCCTAGTGCTTAATTCTTTATGATCAGATCACAAAAACTAGTGAAAGTATGATTTTAAAAATCCATCAGACACCTTCCATCCATGGTCCCCCCTCCAAAAAACAAACAAAAAAACCCAGAAAACAAAACCTCCTCAGATCTGTAATCTAAGCACAAGAAAAAGCACAGACAATCCCAAGGTGGGGATGTGACCTGTATTCATCAAGCAGGGGACTTCTGAGGGATGCCACAGGCAAGAGGGGACGGAGGAGGCGGGACCACTGAATATTGCTGGCCAGGGTCCCAAGGCAGGGGAAGGCCGTCTGAAAACTCAGGAAGTCAGAATCAGGGGTGGAGTTCAGCTACACATTGTGGACCAGGGCTGGTTCCAAAGTTGTTGCGAATGCACCCAGGTGAAGTCAGATGCCGACAGAAGGGGAACCCGGGGGTGGTGTCCAGTGCTGTCCTCACAACTTTTATGTGAGTAGAATCTGTTCCAAAATAAAAAAGATGCTTTTTAACACGTCTGCTAGAACTGTAGGGGCTCATGGGAACCTCGGTCCAGTCTCTCAGAGGCATCTCTCAAAGGGCTACGTGGTGTTGGATATCCTATGCACCTGTCCCCTCCAAGCCTTCTGGGGTGGCTGGAGCTCAAGGTGCGGTTCGCCATGGCCCAGGCAGCCTTCTAGGTCTGCACCACAAACAGGGCCTGCGTGGTAGCTGCTCATTGTTGGGGGGAGAGGGGGACGGCAGTGCTTTCCATTCGCTCAGGAACCCCTTGGTCAGCACATGGATCCAGAGCTCCTGCAGGTGGCTCTTGAATCCCCATGGGAGCAGAGGGCACTGCTGATGCCTTCTTGCATTCCTGGCCATGGCAGCCCAGATGTCTGCCTGCCCCATTTATCCCCTCTCTCTTCTCACTGTGTCCTTTCCTCCTCCCTGGGTCAGCATCACAGTGGGTACACTTCCAAGCACGACTGAGTTGTCTATTTAAGAAATATTTTTTGAGCCGTGTGCAGTGGCACACGCCTGTAATCCCAGTGGCTTGGGAGGCTGAGGCAGGAGGATTTCGAGTTCAAAGCCAGCCTCAGCAAAAGTGAGGCACTTAGCAACTCAGGGAGACCCTGTCTCTAAATAAAATACAAAATAGGGCTGGAGAGGGGGTTCAGTGGTCGAATGCCCCAGAGTTCAATTCCCCATCCCTCTCCCAAATTTTTTTTGGTACTGGGGATTGAACCAGGGGCACTTTACCACTGAGCTGCATTCCTCAGCTCTTTTTTGACACAGGGTCTCACTAATTTGCTGAGCCTGGCCTCAAACTTACAATCCTTCTGCCTCAGCTTCCTGAATTACAGGTGTGTGCCATTGCATCCAGCAAGTTTTCTAATTCTTTTAGCTTTTAAAATTCTAAACAACTGTTTATTCTTTCGTTTGTTTGTTTTTGCTACTGGGGATTGAACCCAGGGGTGCTTAACCACTGAGCCACATCCCCAGCCCTTTTTCTATTTTGAGATAGCATCTCATTAAATTACTTAGGGCTGAGGCTGGGGATGTAGCTCAGTTGGTAGATTGCTTGCCTCGCATGCACGAGGCCCTGGGTTCAACCTTCAGCACCACAAAAATAAATAAATAAATAAAAATTAATTAATTAATTTAAAAAGTTGCTGAGGCTGGCTTTGAATTCTCGGTCCTTGTGTCTAACCTCCTGAGCTTCTGGGATTACAGGAGTGTGCCACTGTGCCAAGCTGTGTTTGTTATCTTTTTAAAAATCCAGTGAAATGAATCAAGAAAAGACCGTAACCTCACAACTGGATATCATAGCACCTTCCAGGTGGCTTGAAAGTCCAGCAGAGCCAGTCAGCAATGATCCCAGATTCTAGATGGTGCCTGAGCCTCCTCTGGGGCCATTTCAGGTTCTTTATCTTTTATTTATTTTAAACAATTAAAAAATTGTGACATACTCATCAAATTACACACCGTGTCTTTTTGGCATCTTCTGAGAGCAGCCCCACATGAGAAGCTGAAGAGTTTGATTTCAAGCCATGTCACAGCCCCAGGGCCAAGCAGGAGTCTGAAGTCAACTCTGGCACCAGACCCTGTGCCCTGTCTCCTTACTCTCCTTGGCTTCCTTGCAGGTCATTCCCAAGGACTACAAGACCATGACTGCGCTGGCCAAAGCCATCTCTAAGAACGTGCTCTTTGCTCACCTGGACGACAATGAGAGAAGGTAGGTGTGGTGAAGGGCTCGGTCCCTCTCTTCTGCGGCAGCTGCTCTGGTCCCACACCTCACTTCGGGAATCACACCAGTGCTGGAACCATGGGCTCCCAAGGCAGGAATGACTTCTGGAAATACTGTGCTGTGTGCCCCTGGTCCTGCTCAGGAGAGCTGTCTTGTTCCTGGCAGCGCCCCACTGCCACCCTCAAATCCTAGGCCTGGATGCATGACTCCCACATGGTAAGCCGGTCCTGGAAACATACCATGGTGCCTCTTTTTGCCCTCATCATACAGGGCTGGGGCTTTCTGGGAAACTGAGGCGGTACAAAGACGCCTCCCCACTAAACCCCAATTCTTGCAATTAAGTCAGAAAGATTTCAGACGTGTCGCTCAGAGCGACAGGCAGGAGTTTATTGAAAAGATAAGAAAAAGAAAAGGAGATACTTCCAAGGAGAGAGTGGGTCCTCTCAGAGAAGAAAGGGACAGCATGCCTCTCCTGCCCCCCCAGTTTTATTGGGGATCCTGGAGAAGTTTCTAGAGAGTCCTGCCCAGGTCCACCCCTTGACATTTGACTGATAGTAGAATGACATCAAACTTTCAAGTCCCCACCGCCATGACAACTCTAGGTCACTTTGGCCCATGCTGACCAGTTTTAATTGGATTCTTAATCATAAATTGTTACAGATTTTATGGCTAGGAGAAATTATCCTTATCTCCCTGAGTTCCAGGATCTGGTTTGTGTAAAGGGTCACAAAAGTGTCCCCCTTCAGGGTAACTTGTGTTCCTCTTATCAATATTATTTTGGGCCTGCATTTCTCCGGCAGATAACAGGTAGTTTGCTGAGGAATGTGACATATCCTGTCTACTTAAGCCAGGCAGGGCTGCAGGTAAATTGCTTTTTGGAAAAGAAAGCATGTGGGGGTCAGTACTGTGGGCCAAGATTATAGAATTATTCCCTTAACCTCATGTTCCCACCACTCACACCTGTTTTTCCCCTGTTAGGCTGACTGTTCCAGTACCTTCCATATGCTAGGACCTGCCTGGCCCTTGCAAAGATGGACAAAAATACATACCCCACTCTTCCACTTGTCCTTGGAGTCCCAGTTCATAGTACTCAGGCCAGGGTGGCTGAGTCTTGGTGAGTAGGCAGGAGGCCAGGATGTTCCAAGAAGAGGGACTTGTGAGCTTCAGGGGTTCAAATGCTGTGGTTGGGAAGTTGATCATAGAAATACTTGGAAAACCCAGATTTTTTTTTTTTTTTAAAGAGAGTGAGAGAGAGAATTTTTTTTGATATTTATTTTTTAGTTCTCGGCGGACACAACATCTTTGTTTGTATGTGGTGCTGAGGATCGAACCCGGGCCGCACGCATGCCAGGCGAGCGTGCTACCGCTTGAGCCACATCCCCAGCCCCAGAAATTTTTGATAAAGCAAAAAAGTAAATATGTCCCCTGACTCCTGACTCCCAAAGATAATCCCTGGAGCATTTTGGGACCGTCTTTAGGGTTACTTTCCTGCACAAACCCTCTCTCCACGGACCTTCACAGAATAGAATCTCATTCCGTATACTGTCATACCTTGGATGTCCTGAATCTCTTTCTCTGTCAATAAAGATATTTTAGTGTTTTTTAAAAAAGTCAATTTCTACAAAATTGCTACACTTTAGCTGCCTTCCTACGATGGCTATTTGCATTTTTAATATTATAAACAACCATTTGATGACTGGGTGGTCATCATTGAGTTCTTGTCCATTTATTTCTTCAAAATAAATTCCTTGACAAAGATCAAAGCGTGAGTAATATTTTAAAATTTACTTTTTTAATAAAAAATATTTTTGGTAAGTTGTAATTCTTCATTAGATCAACTGATCACATTTTATTAAAAGTTCCAGACAAAATCCAAATAACATACAATATTTGAGAAAAGACTCTTTGTTCTACTCCCCAAGGAACCACTAGCAGTGGGCTGGGATGGTCCTTGTAGGCTATTCTCTGGGTTTGCATGCATCTCTCCACCTAAGCTTACATGGGGACCGACAGTATGGTACACACCAGTAATCGCAGAAACTCAGGAGGCTGAGGCAAGAGGCTTACAAATTTGAGGCCAGTCTGGACAATGTAGGGAGGCCCTGTCTCAAAATTTAAAAAGGGGGGGTGGCTGCAGATGTTGCTCAGTGGTACAGCATTTATTTAGCATGTGTGATGCTTAGGTTAATTCCCAATACTACAAAAGAAAACAAAACAAAAAATGAAGTATGCATGTGGGAATCCTTCACCCAACATCAGGACATGCCTGATGTACCGAGCTATGAACGCTGTGCTTGGTATACTGATGATGCTCTAGGAGGCCTTCTAAAAGTGTAGATCTCATTTTCTTTTTTAGCATTTGCAGTGTTGCTTTGTAAAAATGAATCAATTTTTTTCACCTCCCCCTTTGCCAAGTTCTCCTAGGTTTCTGATTTCTGATGTTACAGTGTTTCCTCAAAGAGCAAAGCAGAGGGTTTTTACACAGCAGACATTCCCAGAGCAGCTCTGGGTCCAGGAGATTGGACTCTCAAATCCTGCAGGGTGCGCAAAGGCTTTTATAAAGTACATTTTGCCGGGTTTTCACCCAGAATGGCCAGTGGGCGGCCTGCAGGAGCTCTGTGTAGGGCTGTGATTCCCGACCTCTCACATTGCTGTGGAGAACCCCCCTCTGCCCACTGCTCCTGCCAGCTTGGTCCAGTGTCCTGTGACCCCTGAGCTTGGACCCCTGAGCTTGTTCCATAAGAGCTGGTGTAGCATGGTGTAGAGCTATGGTTTAATCGATCCTTGCTGTACCTGTGACTGCCAGGATCCCAGGAAACATCACAGGGTGGGGACTGTGGCACTGAGGGGCACGTTGGGCAAGGAGCATGCAGTCAGTCCCCTTGTCCTCTCGTGTTTTCTGTGTGCTAGAAGGGTCCACATGTGGCCAGTACTCATGTGGAGCCCATGATATCCCCACCCTAGAAGTTATTTATGTTCAAGGAAACATGGAGTCATTTTCTCTGATTCCTGGGTTATGCAGCCTCCTTGGAAGTTTCTGAACAAGGTGGTGTCCTGAGCTATTTTGCTCAGGGAGAAGGGTTTAGGCTCAGAGTTTTTTTTTTTCCTTTTTTTGATGGTACTGGGGATTGAACCCAGAGCCTTGTGCATGCAAGCACTCTACCAACTGAGCTACATCCTCAGCCCTAGGCTCAGATTTAAAGAAGACTGTTCAGCAAGATCCCCCATCACTGGAGGCCAGGGGTGACCTCCCACCCTGAAGGACTTCAGGCTCTAGTGAGGGGCAGTAGGGAGGTAGGCCCCCCAAATATACTCATGACCCAACTCCCCTGGGCCCTGGGGATGTCTCCTACATAAGCATGAAAGGACTTTGCAAATGTGACTAAATCAAGGGTCCGGGTGGGAGATGATCCTGGATTCTTCAGGCATGTTTTGAAAACTGTCCCATGTGTCCTTGCTGGGGGTGGGGGGATGGGGAGGGGCTGGGCAACACACAGAGGAGGAGGATGTGGGCCCACGCAGGCAGGGTGGGGCACTGTGGCCTCGAATCACAGAGGAAGCCACAGGAAACTGGGGGAGGCAGGAGGGTTTCCCCTGGAGCCGCTGGAGAAGCATCGCCCTGCCCACACCTGGGTTCCTACCCACTGATTCTGATTTTTGACATCTGGACAGTTGAGAGGAAAAAAATTCGGTTATTTTAAGCCCCAGTTCATAATACTCAGCCAGGGCAGCCCTGGTCACCGGGGCTAGGTGACTGAAATGTTGTATCTATTTTAAGTTGAATTTAAACATCCATTTACAGTGTAATTTAAGTTTAGATTTTGAATGGGTGATACATTCACATGTTAAAATTTCAGAAAGTGTAGAGTGAGAGCCCTCATCTGGAGACTGCCTGAGGACCCTTGCTTGACCCTGCTGGGCCTCCCAGGACCCTCTGTGGCCCCTCTGCACACAGACCCAAGGGCCAGGAATCACCTGTTTCATGGCTCACTGTCACACAGACCATTGGTAATGAAACTTCAAGTCCTCAGGGGAGGGGAGCTGAGTGTCTGGGCCTAGGGTCTTATTGGCCCTGCTAACTCACTTTTATTTGGGGAGGTGGATGCTGGGGAACCCAAGGGAACTTAACCACTGAGCCACATCCCACACCCTATTTTTTATTTTATTTAGAGACAGGGTCTCACTGAGTTGCTTAGAGCCTTGCTTTTGCTAAGGCTGGCTTTGAACTCGTGATCCACCTGCCTCAGCCTCCCATGCTGCCACCGTGCCTGGCCTAACTCATTTTTGTGCCGAATGGAAGGAGTCACCTCTGGATGGCCAAAGCATGGTGGGCACTTCAGCTTTCTGGGCCACCCCAGTGCCAGGCCCTCTCGCATAACCAGGCAGTAAATTCAGCCCAGTCTTGTCCTTTGTAGCTGAGAGGCAGGTGGCAATGACACCCTAGAATTGTGGGAGGGGCTTGCTGGATGCAGAGGAAGCAGAGGGCTTGATGAGAGACTGTGCTTTCAAGGCTGGCCCGAGGAGGAAGCGCTCTCTCAGGGCGTGTCTGTCTGTCTCAGGTCTTCTATTTTGCACAGAGGAAAGCTCACTTTCCATATCGAAATGCTGGGCTCCTTTTTCTGGCGACAGTCTCTAAAGAAGCAGGCGGATGGCTCAGGACCTGTTCCAGAGGGAGCGGTCAGGGAGGCACTGTCTCTTGACCTTTCACATGATGTCTCCCCGTGCAGCATCCAGAGCCTTTGCTTTTTTTCCAGTGTTCTAGAAGCTGGGCTTCAGGGCTCTGTCTCGCCTCAGCTGTGGTTTGGCAGGTCCAGCAAAGTTCCTTCCAGGTTTACGGGGTGTCTGGCACGCCCTGATCTCGGGCTGCCTGCGGCTCCTCTGCTTCCCTGCGTGGGCAGAATAAAGCAGAATATTCCTTACAAAGGAATCCGCTTGCGGGCGAGCACACCTTCTTGCCTAACGACTTTGCCCTCCAAATTTAGATTCAAGACAAACCCATTTTCATGGGCTGGGTGATTTTACTCTTGTCAATTTATAACGGTGTCTTTTTACATTGCACCAGAGATACTTAAGCTTGGAAAAGGGTGAAGATTATCTTTAATTAAACCCTCTATTTAAAATAAGATAATGCAGAGTGGTTGTGGGGGAAGGCTGATTCTCCCAAGCTTCCTGCTATCTCTTGCAGGATGTCAGTATTTCCAGTCTTGCCTTACTGAAGGCTCTCTGCAGCCCTTTGCATGGTGCCCCGAGGAGCATAGGGTGAGCTTTGCAGCCTCTGTACCCTCTTGCCCTTTCCCAAGGACACACGGTCCACTGGAAACAGAACCAGGGTTCCATCCTGTTGTCCAAGAATTATCAGTGTGGGGTCTTCATGTCCCAGGGTGAATGGTAGCTCCAGGGCACGGGGTCTGGACTGGTGGGTGTTGGGGCAATAAAGAGAATCAGGAGAGCCCTGAATACAGAGTATGGGGCTGGAGTGGAGCCCTTAACACACACATGCACACACTTACACACATAATTGTGCATGCACACGCAATCTCACTCGGACACCACAATTTAAGGTGTGTCAAGACATCTTTTAAAAGGTGAGAGCTGCGCACTGCTGTTTATGAGTTGTAACTGTGAAGTCGTTCTTTGTGCCTCGGTTTCCTCAGGTGTCAAATGAGGGTGATAAAACCCTGGAGGGTCGGGGTGAGGATGTAATGCAATTAAAATCCATATGTGTGTTATCATCACCATCATAGTCGTTATCATCATCGTCGATGTCACCCGTCACCATCGCCATCACCACCATCTGATCATCACCATCGCCATCACCACCATCTGATCATCACCATCGCCATCACCCTACTCACCACCATTATCGTCATCATCGCTGTTGTCATCATCACCATTGTTATCACCACTATCATCTTCATCGTCATTACCTCTACCACCATCATCATCACCACTGTCGCCATCATCACTATCACCTGCCTCGTTAGGTCCCTGGGAGGTCATCTTATCTCCTATCTCAGTGTAAAGAAGAGAGCTCCAAGGCTCCGTGAGGGGAAGGCCCTTGTCCCTGTGCTAGGCCACATAGCAAGTGTCCAAGCTGAGACTGGAACACATTACCCTGGACCTGCCCCTAACAGTCACATGGTTCCTAGGGAGGGCCTGAGGATGGCTGACAGCCTCTCACTGGGTGTTGACTGTTAGCAGCAAGAGTAGATTCTCACTCCTCCCATTGAGGCCCTGGGCAGTTAGTTCTTGGCTGGGGACAGGAGCAGCCCCAGGAGTTGGCCCCTGGGATGTTTGGGAGTCCTGGGATGTGTCTGAAGCATCTGTTTCTGGCCTGGAAGGTTGTACTTCAGGCCCAGGGGAAGGAGACAGGGGCCCCTGGGCTCCATCCTGGCCCCTTCACAGCTGCCCTGATCGGGGTGTCTCTAGAGGGAATACCGTTGAACCCCTGGGAGCCAGGAAGTGTGCTAATTAGGCAGCATTGCCTGGGTTTGCACTGTGCATTGGACCCTCGGCTGGGACCTCTGTAGGAGCTGCCAGATGGGCAGGCAGGTGAGGGTGTCTCGCTCTGGGGCGGCCTCCCTGGCAGCAGCTCCTGCTCTCTGTTGCTCTAATTAAAACACAGACCTCTGGCCTGAGTGCAGCACCGCTGGCCACGCAGCTGTCTCTCCTGCTATCTGTTGCTGTCTCTCTTCCTCCCACCCGCGTATCTTTGTAGTCTGTTTTTTTCCACAAATTGGCTCCAGGCCTTAGGTGATGGGA